ACCCCCTGCTCAATCAGGAAACCCTATACCACTTCAGACAAACGGTTGCCCTGTCTCTTCTTAAAAACTTAAAACTGGAAAATTAATAAAACTTGTTTAAAAAAAACTTTCAGTGATGGAGCACCCACAACTTGTGAAAGTAAGCCATTCTACAGATTAATTGTTCTGTCAGGAAATCACTATTCTTTCTACATCCTGAAAATGAATTAATTTCTTCATCTTCATCCAGACCTTTTAAATGACTGAATAATCAAGTCCTTTTCTCAGAACTGGGATTTCATCCAGTATGTAGCTATAAATTAATACACATTACCATGCTGAGTCTAAAAAGAAAAGATTGCTGAAGAATGTATTCTCTGTCTCCACCCCCTCTTTCTCTCCTCCCCTCCTTCGCTCTCTCTCTCTCTCTCTCTTCCTCCCTCTCTCCCCCTCCTTTTATTCATTCCTAGCTGGGCTAAGTCTACACACTTCATCCAAAACTATTCTATTATGATCATTTTATTCTTTTTAAATGAGACCTGTTACAGCTGCTGTTCTATTTAATTACTTGGTATTCTTTTAAAATACTCCATATGCTCAGAAGAATGAATCCTCTAACAAGGACTCTGAGTAGAACTCTCCAATATAAATTAAAATAAGGAATGAATGAATAAATGAACAAACAGTAGGAGAGCTTTCCTCATTTTGGGGAAATGGGCCAATCCAAGGCAAGGACAGGAGGAGGAGGAAGAATAACATACTGGATAATCAGCAAATTACGATTGGGTTATCAGTGGCAAAAAAAACCCCAAATCTCTTTCCATTCTGTAAGTAACAGAGCTTCTGGGTCACTAATTTATAGGAAAGGCTGGATTAATAAACATCTAGGCTATGGAGAAACTGAAGAATGAGCAGCTCTAATGTTTATATATTGGGTTGAATCCAGCAATGTGCTTCTGGCACAAGATTGGGCAGGAAATGTTTTTTTCTCAATTGGAGAGAATATCTGGACTGTGGGGTCCATGGTACTCTCTGAGCTTGGTTGTTTGCTTGCAGACATTTCATTACTGTACTAGGTAGCTGTCGTGGTTCCGATAGATGAGAAGAACTCCAAGGCAAAAATGTTTCCTTAAAGAACATATTTATTTGGCTACATAATATCGGCATGTTCAAAAGTGAACCCAAGACTGATACACCCCCCCACAAAGTTACAATGTTACCAAGTGAAACTTCCCACCCCATTAGTATGTCATAAATCACGTTCCCCAATTAACTACAGTCCGCCAAAATGCACTAGGTTTTTCCAGCTAAGTCCAATGTTACACCCGCAATACATCCTCTCTTCTGGTAATAACAATTTTTCGCATTAGGCAAATACAATTCTTATTATTGTTAGAAAACATACAATTTTTTCTTTTTTCTCATCACTCCCTACCTTTTTGGTTTGTTTTCTTGGGATTTATGATTGGTTTTGTGTTCTAGAGATTCTAATGATTGGTCACCCTTCTCCCTCAATTTTAGTTTAAAGCTCTTCTAATGAGTTGGACCAGTCTTTTTCCAAGTACATTTGCAGCCCATCTCTTGCCAAGAGTCCTTCGCGTAGGAAATGCAGTCTATAGTCCAGGAAACCAAAGTTTTCTTGGCAACACCAACCCTTTAGCCAGTGGTTTATTTCTAGAATTCTTTTTTCTCAATGGATGTTGGCTTTTTGTTGGGAGTACTGATGAGAACACTACTTGTGCTCCTAGCTCCTTAACTTTATTACCTAGTTGCTTATAGTCTCTCAGTATTGTGCTCAGGTTCTTTGTTGTGTCATTTGTCCCAATGTGAAGGAGTAGGAGAGGGTAGTAATCTGTGGGCCTAATTATTTTGGTTAGGTTCTCAGCCACGTCTTTGACTTTTTGCTCCAGGGAGACAACATACTTCCCTGTATTGTATGTCCGGCCTGCAAATGGCTGATTCTGTTCCATTGAGAATAGAATCTCCTATAACCAGCACTCACCATTTTTTTATGGGTGGGGGTGCAATCTGAGGTGGGTTTTTTTGGTAAAAACTAGAAAAGACATTATTGTTTTTGTGGAATTATTTCTGGTTCAGCAGAAATTAGCATAATGGTCACATGTGAACAATTATATACTTTTATATAATCTAATGCACTCATTACATTAATTGCCTGGAAACCCAGCCCCAAACTCCTTTTTAAAAAAAATATTTTATTAAACTGGCAAGATGTCATTATTGTTACACTTATCAGGAACAATTTTTCTTTATTATTAACCCAACAAGGCAATGTAGATTGATTTGTATCACAATAACATATGCCATTTTGAACTAAATTGAAAAAAATATGACTTCTTAGTAAGGAAAATAATAGGCTTTTGTTTTTGTTTTTTAGAAAACAAAATCAGTTCTTTGAATTTAAGTTTCCACAAGGTACCAAATTTTATGGACATAGCAGTGTTATTCAACAAGTATGGCCATTCATTCTTATGTCCATAATGTAATTAAACTAAAAAACATGTGGAAGATTTTATGCTATTCAATAAAATCATGGACATTAGGCAGTAAAAATCTTCTGCTGTTAAGTGTGTTCTTTAATTTTTTATTTTCAGTGGCCAGCAGAAAAGTTCAGTTTGACTAGATCCAGTTCTATAATCCTTCCCACGTGTCCTGAAAAATAGAAAAATAGAAGTGTTAAGTAGTAGATTTATTACTGATAAAAGCTATAGCCAGACATAAACCACTAGTGGTATTAAATTATTGTCTGATTAGCTGATTTGCTTTGGTTATCCTAGATTTGCAGTGAGGGGTCTAAACGTTACAGTACTTTTTTAAAAAAAGGTTTAACAGGGTATTACAGTTATATTGAAAAGAAATTTACCCCAAATCAATAACATGGACCACTAGGAGGCATTATGTGACTGGTTTCACCTCTAATTGGGTATCCTAGAGTAGGGGTATCTGGATATTATTCTAAGGGGTTCAAATTACATGGGACATACCGTGTCTGAGGAAACCTAGTAAGAATGAAATTGGTTAGTTGATGCCTTCTGTTAATCAATGTAACTGAAAATACCACACAATGTAAAAAATAGAAAAAAATCACACACCCTGTCCAAAAGATACATTGGAGCTTATATAGCATCCTATCCATGGATGTGTGACATAATGTAATATTTGTATCTCTCTGCTCTGAGAGCTTAAAGGAAGGTAGACCCTTCTGACGGAGCGTCCAAAATCAAGGACTAAATAAATCATTACAAAATTTTTAATTTCTAACACTTGTGAGAATCCTCTCCCTTTAAGTAAACCTTTTCCACAACTCCATTCCATTTGCATTCTCAAATCCATGATGAAAGCTAACTTCTAAAGATTAAAATTTTTAGTCTAGAGAAAAAGGCAACAAAAACAAGAGAATAACAGGGTTGGAAGGGACCTTGGAGGTCTTGTAGTCCAGCCCCCTGCTCAAGCAGGAAACCCTATAACATTATAGACAAATGGTTGTCTAATCTTTTCTTTAAAACCTCCAGTGTTGGAGCATCCACAATTTATGGAGGCAAGTCGTTCCACTGTTTAATTGTTCTCATTATCAGGAAATTTCTCCTTATTTCTAGGTTGGTTCTCTCCTTGGTTAGTTTCCATCCGTTGCTTCTTGTCCTGCCCTCAGGTGCTTTGGCGAATAGATTGAGTTCCTCTTCTCTGTGGGAGCCCCTCAGATATTGGAACACTGCTATCATGTCACCCCTTGTCCTTCTCTTCATTAGACTAAACATACTCAATTCCTGCAACAGTTCTTCTGTAAACATAGTTTATCAAGTAATTACTTTTTAGTTTCTCTCACCTGGTGGATAAATAGAGCTGTCCCTGTACAGAAATGAATCTTGCTTGGCCAGAATATATTTCAAAATATGTATCAGAGAAAAACGGACCTGGAGAACACAAATAGACATAAACCCACAATTACAATTTTTAATGTAATAGCCTAGACAATCTAGAGGCAGGTTACATCCTGCTTAAATCTGTCACATTTGAGGTCTGTTAAATATTTTCCCTTTGCTTTTCTTTAAGTAGTTATGATCAATGAATCATTCAGCATTTTAACTGCATATTTTGGGATTATATTTTGATCAGTCCATACCAATTCAAAGCTACAATCTAAACTTCAAGCCACTTTTGTTGTGCTTTTTCAAATAACTCTTACATTTATGAGTTATGACAGAGGTCTCCAACCTTTTGAGCACCAGGGACCGGTTCCATGGAGAGATGTTTTTCTGCGGACTGGAGGGGGCCTGTTTTCATGTACTGCCTGCATCCCACAGATGGGCTTTGCTTGTTTGTGCGGACCGGTTTCTGGCATGCTGGGTCCCAGTGCAGGTCCACAGACCGGGGGCTGAGGACCCCTGAGATATGAACATTTCTGGAATTTTGATGCACTATTGTGCTACTAGTTAATTGTGAAATTACTTTTCCATTCAGAAAGCTTCATCCATGCTAGAGTGTGCCATATATTTTTCTCCAAGACCATCATAATCAGTGTAGGCAATAGATTTGGCTTTATCCTCTGTTGGAATACGTTTTGTTGGAATGTATTTTATGCAACAATTACAGTAGTATTTAGTCAGTGGATGGCAGTATTTACAAGTTGGAACTATGGTACATACTCTATGACCTTTTTGTTCTAAGTAAAGTTTCCTGTTTCCTGTTACAGTTAAAAAAAACAGTTAAGCAGTCAAGCACATGGTAAGTGAATATTCTGTTTGTTCTGTAGTGCTACATATAAACAAAATCCCACAAATTTTACACACACACACACAAACCATTTGTAACCCTCGGAGGCAATTTCCAAAGGGCACTAGAATTGGCTCTGATTTACTACATCAATATCGTTATTACAAAACGCTGTGATCAGGAAGCCTTGATTAAAAAAATAATGTAAATAGAGGCAAAGTTGCAAGACCATCAGATATATTTCTCCAAACGAGAAATGGAAAAGGAAACAATCCAGTTTTCTTTTTCCTCACCCTGAAGAAATATGTGCTTCCATAGACACAGTCTTTGTACTCTTCTGAATCACTAGAAAGCTTTTTTTGATAAGAAAACTTATCAAAGGCCATTTCCATACGAATAGTTTTCACTCTCCCAACCCTCAGTTTAGAAGGTTATTATATTTTTTGCTACTGACTTGGAGTGCTAGGAACAAAGTGTGAAACTCACTAGCACCCAAAAGCAATTTCCCCCATTGCTGAGAAGAAAACCACAAGGCTATTTATATGTTCATGAAGTCACTAAGTGTCAAAATTGATTCAAGCGCAAATATATCTTTTTAATGCTCATGTACCTCAAAGGGTTATCTAGCAAGACTAGCAAGATAATGTGGATAAGGTGCTTTGTGGATACTATGATCATATTAAAAAGCCAAATTTAATTCCAAATTGTATTACTGTAGTCTATAGCAGTAGTTAAATACTTACCAAAAAGTCCAGTAACTTGTTTAGAAAAAGAATTGCTATTCTCAAAGTACAACCCAAGCCGATCCAGTGGAGGAGGTGTATAGAAAATTTTGGTCACAATGTTGTCTGGTCCTGAGAGAAAGAGACTCTCTCCACTTGTCAGTGTAATGTTTAGCCTAAGACAGAACAAATTGTATTATTTTCCAATATTCCTTTGATAATTTGTCATGCTGATGTAATAATTTAATATTGCTCATACTGTTATTGGTAAACATAATTTTAATAAAACATATGTAAATGAATATTTTTGCATTTGTTTCTTATTATATATCCCTTATATAGTTCCCGGAAGTAATTTACACAGCATGTTTCAGCACAATGGCCTTACAGAAAATTAGAAAATGCTTATTCAAGAATCACTTCTTGTTTTCAGGCTTACATCTCATGCTTTATTAAGGAGTCTTAAGTAGCTTATCTAGATTTGTGGCTGTAGGGCGAAGGCAAAATCTCAACTGTTTTCCCCATCTGTATGATGGATATTTATCAAATAATTATCCACCACCCCCTTTTTTTTTAAAGCTGGGAATTTGAATCCTATTAAATCTCAGGCATCATAGGTCTTTCTAATATCTAGTTAACAACTGAAAAATTAGACACAGGATACTATAGTTTTTATATCAACTAGATTTAATTTGATTTTATTTAAATGAATTAAAACCACCACCTTTTCCCAAGGAACAAAGGGCTAAAAATTGCAACATGGAAAGATTAATTAGATTGAATTTCAAGCTGATGGTCTAGCCGGAATGGACACCATCTAAGCAATGGATCTCAAATATCCAAATAATTTATTTATATTCTCAAACATAAATTCTTAAATTATCAGTTTGACAGATTACGCAAAAAGAGACTATGTTCAAATATATCCATAACAAACTGACCAAATGCTGTATTGGCTGCATTAATCTTTAATTCTATCTTAATGAAGGAGTGTAAATTAGATGTGAGAAATTTTACCTACAAATGCAATAGCAAGTAGTCATGTTGGTTGACCCAAAGTTTTCCTAACTATTCCTTGGGCTTGTATAAACAATTCCTTGGGATTGTATAAGCCAATTTTACTAACTGTTCCTTGAGATTGTATAAACAACATCATAAGCCAATTTTAAGAAAGCTGCATAGTGGCAGATTCCTAATAGAGTAGGCCTCATAAGGGTTTAAAGCATATGATATTTTTTCTGAACATATATTATGAAGCATCTGTTACAGTAAAATGTTTTAAAGCTATGTACATATATCCAGGGAGGTAAAAAATAAAGCCAATTCAATATTATTAACATTGCAACCTGACATACAAGGATTTTCATTTTATGGGCATTGTTTCTGGGAGGAAGAAAGAACACCTTTCAGTCTGACAGATTATGCAAAAGAAACGTATGTTTTAGGGATTGGAGACTTCAATTGTCTGTAAAAGAAAACTAAAAACAACAATTTACCCTTCAATTGTTAAAGATTCTGTGTCATTCCACACAAAAGAGTCACTGGAGCCATTACTTTTCAGCGTAATTTGTTTTGTTGACACATTTATTTCCAGGTTAAGCCTTGGATAACTTATTTCAAACTGTGTAAAATGCTTGTTTTCACCAAACTTGCCAGTCACTTGGATCCCTACAAATATGTAAAGGTACACTCAGGAAATGTATTAGTGTTTACCTAACATTCATTAGTACAGAAATAATTGCCATATAAATTGCCATACAATGAATAAAAAACATCTGAATCTCACAGGATTGCTCTTTGCTTAATCTGATTGCCAATTCAGTGCACTATTTATTTAGACTTAAAACCTAAGATGAGTTTAATCCACTTAAGATTTAGATGGGAGACCACCAAATCCCCCCAATATTACTAGCTAGACAGAAAAGCTTTCTACGTCCACATTTATGTCTACTATATCTACACTATATTTACAACTAAGTCCAGGGAGAAGGTGTGTAAACATGTCCATGAACTTCACCAGCAGTCAAGCTTAATTTGGAGATGACTTAGTTACATTACACAAATAATTACAAAATGTGTTTTGGTCCAGATAGCTGACAGGCATTAATCCATCATGCCAATGCTGCTAAATATTTTTTACATCTGTGCAGCAAATATATATAATATAAGACAATCAATAAAGAGTTGATAGAAATCTCCAACATTTAAAATAAATATCACAAATAATCAGTAGATTTAGGAACAAAGAAAAGTCAGTACATCCATATATACATATTGGAATCTGCAACGTTACAATGCATTTATCTGAAATGAGATGAAAAGTACAGTCAACGAAAACAAGAATCAGAAAAGAATAGATTTTCATAGATTGTCAGAAGGAAAACATTCCTATAGAACTTTGAATATTCATATCTACCGAATTCTTTATGGAAATCACTTACCTTTCTCTGGATCAGACAACAGATTTAAGGGTGTTTGTGGCTGACAACTAAAAGTTACACAAACTAAATATTTTTCATGAGGTACTTGAAAAAGGAAATGGGGATCTACAGTCCCGGAAAATCCTGGAAAGAAAAGTAATTATTAGCATGTATTTTATACTGATTTGTGGAATTGTCCAAGATCCCTAATATCTTAGCTAAGCTTTATGGCTGACAAAATTGAGCTAATTATAATTAGTATCAACAGCAGGCTGCAAAAGTTTACTATATATTAATTAACAGAGCTTTCAAATTCTTCACGGAGTACTTTGTTTCATCAAATGTCCATGCACAGCGCCCGAAAAGTCTGGATTTTTCACTCAGTAACAAAATAAAATAGCCTGTTAATGAGCTGGCATTAGGCACCTAGACTGGCATGAGGCACCTAGACTACAGTGCCATACGACTATTATTTCTTGCATTTTCCTTTGTGAAGCATATAAACATAAACACTTTTAAATACTTATGAACCTCTTTCATATTTGCTCCCTTTTCAGGTTTGTCATTTTTTCCCCATCAAGAAAATACGATCACTGTAATTTAAACCCAAGTTGCACTTATGGAGCCAAAACATATGAAGACGAAGTAAACTGACAGCCTCAATTGCTTTCCCTCTGCTGTTTTGCTGCAGTAGATTAAATACACCATCTGAGATGCTTTAAAAGGATATCTAGAGATGCCTTAGTGGTGAGAGGGACAGCATATAAATTTAATAAATAATAATCATATGGTTTTTCTACTCTGATGCTAATATTATTCTTAAAATAATGGTGTCAACTTTCTTTAAGATTAACGAAATACAGATTCATTGCTTGTTTTTCTCCCCCACTTTACAGAATGGAGAGATTGCTTAAACAAGGGGGGGAGGGGAACAAAAAAATTGATCTCTTTACATAATCTCTCCTGTGCCTGACCTGTTCTTTTGTTCCCCCTCCTTCCCCCTCTCAGAATGAAGAGATTGGAGACGAAGAGATTACAAGAGAATAAGCACCACACAAATGGGGAATAATACACTGGCTGTTTGCATGATGTGCTCAGGGCTGCTGACTCTTTTGTAACCCCTTCCTCTCTAATGAATGTAAATACAAACATTGTTTCCCTTCTTGCTAATTATCCCAGCATGGGGGTGAGCATTCCAAAGGGGAGGGAGGGGTTGTGTGTCAAGGTTCTAGCTGATGATCCCAATGGAAGTAAGCACACCTGCGACATTCCAATCTCTAATGCAAAACTTTATTGAGTACAGCATACCGGCACTAATGAATAGAAAACCAGCCCTAGCAATATGGTGCCAGAAAGATAATTAAAAAAGTAAAACCTTCCCTCCCCTCTCAGGTCACATTGTCCAATTAGTCTTCAGGCAGTTGTTATGAGAAGAAAGACTCTGCTCGCCATAACATAGCTCTGCGACCTTGCTTCCCATAGGGATAGAAACCACCTATGCATTCCATATGTTCCCCTCTCTCCTTGTAACTGCTGGCAAACTAGAAGCGGCATGGCTATCCTAGCCCAAGCAATCTTCATAGCTTAATGCCAGCGTTTCTCAATCTCAGCAACTTTAAGATGTGTTGACCAACTCCATGCTGGATGGAGAACTCTGGGAATTGAAGTCCACACATCTTAATGTTTCAGAGATTGAGAAAATATACATCATGATTCAGGGGTGGTGGATATTGCACAATATTATGTAATACTATTTTCTTTCAAATTTTTTATGCTAGCAGGTCTACTTATTTTACAAAATGACTGTACAGCATATTAAAAAGGTTGATCAAAGTTTTGTAATTTGCCTTAATAAGAATACAAAGCATGTCTAATATGGGAGTCTAACCCAAATGAAATGGGCAAAAGTCTCTATCTGCATAGCAGAACCATTGACACCTACTGATATTGTATCAATCTATTTTTGCATATGGGCAATACACTGATTGACCATGAGTTCCTGACTTTAACATTGTGGTTGAAATGCACTTTCATTCATGACTTTGGTCTCGGCTCTTTAAAATATCTCCCTGATGATTTTAAGACTGGATGATCTGCAGAAGTGTACATGACTCGGTGGAAAATCAGACGGCGGCTTGGGAGTCAACTGCCGCCGCTGCATTGGACCGAGTCGTGCCTCTGCGGCCTCTGACCCGGCGTAGGTCTCGACTGGCTCCCTGGTTCTCCGGGGAGCTGAGAGAGATGAAACGCCGGAAAAGACGCCTAGAGAGCTGTTGGAGGGCCAGCCGAACCGAATCCGCGCGAA